GCACCGAGCGGGCCACGTCTGTGCTGGCGACTGCCCCGTGCCCCGGCACCGCTGCGCCGTGCCCCTCCTCCGCCAGCACCGGCGTCTGCGGGCGTTAGTCTGACTGGCAATACTACCACCATCACCACTACTGTAGCCATCGCGATTATTGCTATCCTTACTGCTGTCATCATTGTCCTCAGCAGTACCGATATCCTTATTATGACTCTGCTACCACCATTTCTATCACTATCGCCATCATGATTATTGCTATCCTTATTTTCCTGTTACGATCATCATTAGTACTAGCATTAGCAGCACGACTGCTGTTATTACTCTCACCATCATTATTATTGCTGCCATTATTACTGTAATCATTATTATCGTCATCATTAGTACTAATACCCGTAATATTACTTTACTATTACTATCACCATTATTATTATTATAGCATTATTGTCACCAGTACTAATATCGTTATTATTAGTTATTATCATTACTATCATCAACAGTATTGCTACCTTCATTATTACTGTTACGATGATCATTACTATTACTGTTACTATCACCACCATTATTACTGCTGTCCTTCTCAGTACTGTAATTAGCATCGCTATCGTTACTATTAGTCTCACCATCATTATTATTGCTATCATTACTACTGTCATTCTGACTATATTATTATCCTTACTATCATCAGCATTGCTATACTTTTTGTTACTATTGCTTTTATCATCCTTATTGCCATCATCATTCCCGTTACAACGACTACTGCTATTATCATTATGATGACTATTGCCATCATTATTGCTACCATTATTCTCTTACTATTATCATTACTGTTACTACTGCCATCATTCTTGCTATCGTTATTAATCTTATTGTTATCATCGCTGTTATGATCATTATTATGATGACTATAGCTATCATTATTGCTACCATTATTACTCTTATTATCATCGCTGTTATCATTACTGCTACTATTGCCATCGTTATTAATCTCATTATCATCGCTGTTATCATCATTATTATGATGACTATAGCTATCATTATCGCTCCTATTATTAGCATCGCTGTTGTGACTATTGCCATCATCATCGTCGTTGTGTCTATTACTATTATAGCTGTTATCGTTACCGCTATCACCGTCCTCATTACTGTGGCCCTCGTTATGACTGCTCTGGTTATCACGGCTGTTCCCGTCCCGGTGCCTGCTCTCGTTGCTACTGTTCCCGTGCTCCCCTCCTCACCGTCGCCGCTGCTTTGTGCCCCGGCCCAGGAGGGAGCCGGCCGGCTGCGTCCGCCGGGTCTCGGCCCAGGCCGGCTCGCAGGGGCGGCGGCAGCATCCGCGCTGGACGGCTCCGCGCTTC